GGAATGTTTTTGAAGTTTTATATCTTTCTCTGAGTCTATACAAAAATACACCAGAGAATCCTGTTTTTCGGTATCTCTTACATCTTTCTGGTCTGAACATCTTGTAATGCAAGATAGCACAGCATCGCCCTCTGAAAAATCTCTTTCCACAGATTTTCTTCTCTGACTGACATGATTCAAACAACCACGCTCTCTTTCTTTTTGGCTTTCTGCTATTTTAGGAACGTTGGTTCTACACATGCGGCGATAGGCCAGTTCACTTGCTGACATTACTATAGTGGAAACATCCATGTTATTCCCCTGCTGTCTGAACAGTACACATGTCGGATAGTTTATCTCTTCAGCTTGCTGTACTTCGATTACATGAAAACCCTCCTCATCTTTTTTGTTCGTTACTTTGCGCTCAAGGTCGCGTACCTTTACGTGTGTATTTTCTAGTACTCCCAATCTTTTCTCTGTGATCACTTCTCCTTCACACTTAGCCTGACGTTGTAGTTGTCCATCTGTTGACCCTGCTAACCGTGCATTAATCTCTCGTGCTCTATCTTTCACCGAGACGGACAGTGATACTTCTGATCTTTCGGACATGAAGCTTTTACACATATATGCTCGAGTATGCTAACAATATTAAATCACTCTTTGCAGAAAACTTACTTTAGCAATTAAAATAACATTTTGTCTTATAGTTTTTAACAATTCAACCCATGTTTCTTAAAGTGCAAATCGAAGAAATATCCAGTCCTACTGACATCAATCTTTCTCTTTTCACTGGTTTTGCCCATTTTAATTTATCATGACTAATTTGAAAAGCAGATTACAAGGCACACACCGTATTTTTATAAACTGATTTAGAAGCTTTCTATTGCTTCTGCTGAACTCGAACCTTACAAACAGAAACGGTTGTTTGGAGCAATAATAGCCCAGACGGTAAAGTCCTTTCGTTTACTGGGCCAATACATGTCGGATAAGAGCGACTTACTACAATTAACCTCGGTTACACCTTTATGTCTTAACTATCCAAGGCAAATGTAATCTTAAAGCTATTATCGCATAATTCAAACCAAACACAGATACAATGAGTGCCGAAACTAACAACCTAACCTGTCACTTTCTATCCGATACTTGGAAGGAACGACAGCGCGAGCGTTTGTGCTATCGACAGGTGTCTGGTAATAGATGGCGCTACTTTACAGTTTCTTTTTTTACCACGTTGCTCCTCTGCTTTTATAAAGGTAATTAAAACAATAAGCTAGAAATACTGATATACTTGTTAGTGCTGTAAGTAAGTAAGTAAGCCTTACAGAGCGGATCATTCATTATGTAGTTTCGATTTCTTTTTTGTTTTAGTGGCATAAGCAAAAAGTGATAGAAATGTTTTTATAAACACGAAACTATTAAAACCATATAACATTAAACCCCACACAGCAACATAATAATTTTACAGATCTGTATCATTTAAAAGTTTATCTACCCAAAATAAAGCTCTATTATACTAGTATTATATAACAGAAAATAAATTAATTAATTTTCATTTCTTTTATTTCTCGTCTGACCTATGCAATAGGTGACAAAACAAAGAATAATAATGGTTGGAGACGGTTTGAATGGGTAATGAAGAAAAACTTTAATATAAGTCAAAATAAAATAAATTTAAAATAAAGATAAATTATCTGTGAATCATTGACAAGACAGAATATGCACACACAAGACAATTTTTTTTTCGATATTAGTATAATTAATCTTCACTTTTTTGCACCACTTTCCTGGAATGTACACTTCAGTAATGGAATATAAAGGCAATATTTTCACAAGGCATGTACATAACATTCCATTCGCTATCAATTTATGTTTAGTAAAACTTTTCGTCCGTGATGAAAATTTCAATGAGCTTAACACATTCATGTCTTTTTTCATTATTTTTAGTTTAATCTAGTTATTTTTCGTATGATAAGAACGTATTTCATGAATACAGTTTAATAAATTAAAGAAACAGCATTACACGATTAAGGATTTAGAATTAATATTTGCTTTAAATTGCCTCCAGTGGTTCAGCGATAAATCTCGGGGCTTATAAGGCTCAAAATCGGGTTTCGATACCCGTGATGAGCACAGCATAAATAATCCAGTGAGTAGCTTTGCGCTTAATATCAAGCAAACAAACAAAATTTTCATGAAGAGGACAAATCTAGATCCTTGTGATTTTGTTGATAGACTTGGGAGCATTTACAGGTTATGAATATTGGAATATCCGAACGCTTCTAGACCTACGGTCGCGTGGAAGGCAGGTAACACCGACTGGTTTTGTTAAATGCCATTCCATATTAAATGTGATACGTGAATATTCTGTCCGAATTGGTACGACAAAACTGTTAAAGGAAAGATCGCCAAAGGACATAACATTTCAAACAATATAAACCAGTGTTCTCTATGGAATCGGAAAAACTTGCTCTAAAAACCACATCTCAAAATAATCAAGAGCAAAGTGAACGCTATTGCTACAAAAGGTAACCCTAAAAGTGTACATATTTAACGATACAGTTCAAAAAGATAACAGACAAGAACGTGAAGCTAGCCAAGGCTCAAGAGCTTCCAACCATACTTAGAAATTAACACCTGTTTTCATGAAAAAAAAGACGGCCGAAGACATTGGAATCAAAGCACTCTCGAATAAATATATGTCATTGCACCCCCCCCCCAACCCACAATGGACTTTTACTCCTTTGGTCCATTTGAAAGCCATGGACCTAAGACTCTGTTTGTGAAAAATTGCACAATACAAGAGAAATAGTACCATGGCTGTTCTCTGAAGAAAGTTCTGCCGCAGAACCATTGTTAAAAATCAAAGAAAGCAGATATGGAGTATAATCGCAGGTTTCTAAACTTTCTGTTCGTACGAGTATAGAGATTTGTGATTTTTAAGACTTCTGAGTAATAAATCTTATAATTAAATTCACTTGCTACAAAACACTTTCAAATTTCAATAGAAAATAATAATTATACATGTATTCGTTTTTTGTTGTTTTTCAGAATGAGTAGCAAATCGTCAATTGGGATTAAAGCCCTTTGAAGTTGAATGAATTATACAAGGAAAAAAGTAAAATATAACTTAAACTTTGCGCATAAATAGTCTCATCATGCTTGAATCAAAAGTCATGGTTAGAAGAGCATCTTATGTTCAAATGATGTCAATGTTCTAAACCTTAAGATACTCAATTAGAGCATTTCTAATTCTAATATTATCACATAAAGTGTGAGTGATGTAACTTACATGTATACCATTTCATTAACCAAGGGTTGTAAGAAAAAAGGCAAGGTAAAAAGTGTGTAATTCTAGAACTTCTGTCGTGTTTACACAGATTAAAAATTTATCAGATAAGAGCGGAAGAAAACTGCTCACCTTATAAAAATGTAAATGATAGTCGAAAGAGGAAACTATTGTAACTGACGAGTAACTCTACGCCTAGTAGCAAACATTCGAGGTTTACAACTTGACATTTTTATAACTATATAGGGTGATTTATAGGCCTAAGTTTTATTGTTCCAACCATCCTCTAAAGCAGTCATTCTCAAACTTTTTTTATTCATCTTCCAGCAGCTTGACGTATAACTGGAAGCCTGATGGCTTCGTTTCCAGACGGAGATATTTCTTGATTATGTTGTCTGGGACACGTGGACGTTTTTTACCACCGAACTTGTGATCGTGAATTCTCAACTGTTATAAGACGCCCACTTTGATTGCCACGGTTAAGGTACGACTTACTGCAGGTCTCTTTCTGGATAGTCCTAATGTTGCAAATTGATACATATTCCTTTGTTTGCCAATGCCATTACGAACAATGGATGTCTTGGAAGTAATATATCCTCGATATGAACGCAACTTTATAAAATAAATTTATGAATACTTTGCGTCAGAAAGGAGTTTCATACTGTGTTCAAAGCGATAAATTTTCAGTGCCATTACCTACATTCCGCTGAACCGCGATTTTATATCGGTTGTGCTTGTCACGCGACTTGCTGATTTGTATATTTAAAATCGCTCTAATATAGCGTGTATAACACTCCAAAATAGCTGCAAATAAAAAATTTCACTTATTTAAATCTACTTATCCTTAAACCACGTCTGTAGCGTTATAATTCTGTGTTTTATTGTCGGCTTAATTAGCTCCGTTCGTTATAGCTTTAATGTACAATTATGGCAGACTTACTAAGGAGTGGTGATTGAGACTATTGAAATATGGCGCCATCTATTGAATGGCACTACAAACACAAACATATTTCACAATTTGGGTATTCAAGATTCAGACAATCAGAAACATAACTATGGTATGTATTAGGGATGCAATGATACTCGGACAGATACCCGGCAATTGGTTTAGTTAAGGGGAAAAAAAAAAAGTGTTCCGAGTAATAAAAATTGACGGCCCGCTGATAGTCGGGGGCTCAGGGAACAGTAGGGGTTAATAACATGCAAGACTTGAGAAGTGGATTTTTGGGGAAGGTGGGATTATGAGAAGTTGGGGCATTGAAAGTTGAAAGTAAAACTTAAATGTTATATTGGTGATTATTCGAGTAAACGTAATAAACGTAAACTTTGTTTTTGTTTCACATTTTTGTGTATATTGTTGTTGAAGAGGCGGGACAAGCTTTTTACTACACGTGCATCCCTAGTATGTGTAACAACCATTTCTTTATCACAGAACACAATTGTAAATAAAAAGTACTCTCCTCACAACAAGAACACGACTTCCAATAGGACTGTACGTGAGGGTTTGATTATATCTTTATTGATGTAATTTTTAAATGAGGTTCTTAAAAACTAGAGTTGCGTATGCCTAAATAGCATAATTCAAACATTTTTTTTCTTTCAGTACTTCCCAGACAAAAATACTTAAATTTTTAAATTTTTTTACAATGAGGTATGAATATTACGATTACTAATTACTAGCACAAACAGCCACCGGGCGGCATTTCTGCTAATTAAATAACAACACTCACAAGAATGGAAATATCCAAGCCAAGTTTATTTTCTATAAATTCTGTTGAATATAATGTTTAAACGGCTGGCATTGCAGGTTTCTCTCCTTTCTGTTCACTGTATGGCTGCTGAGGCACAGTTTCCTCCTTAGGATTTACTATACTGACATTATCTGGTAGAGGGCGTTTAGGGCCAATCTTGCCGTTACGATCCCATGGCAACATAATTTTCACCTTGATACCAAGTACACCTAAGACAGAAAATAATAGTTGCTACTTTAATTATTTTAACACAAAAATATAACTTTAGACACACTACAATGTAGAATGAAATACGTTTGACTTGGATGTGATAAACTTAATTTTAAAATAACAGTAGTTTTGTATGACTTGTAGCTGGAAGTAAATTCTGCCCTGTACTTAAATAAAAGTACAATACGATAAATCATGTTCTTTTCTGGAAGTCTTCGACTATTTGTAAGACTACATTCGTTTGTTTTTTTATACATTAACTAATTTAATTATGGAACAGTTATAAATATTTTACACGCTCCTATTGAATAACAATAATCCCAATTCTCAAAAATGAAACTAACAGAAAAATCATACATGTTTTCTCAAGATTGTCTCAATTCATAGTTCTGAATCTTTGACATATACTAGTTCAATTAGAGATAGTTAGTCACACTTTATAAAAACAATTTACATACCCTAATACAATACCTTTTTACTGTACCCATCATACCACACGTAACATGTTTAGCACCAATACAAAGTACAAACAAAGTTACACATATCCCAAGTAAACAAATACAGTACAAAAGTTTCATTATGCTAATTGGTGTCATTATGGACAGGTATGATGGTGAAGGAGATAACATTCACTGAAGTTTGTAGATACACTCCTGTAGCCAATACAGTGCAGGAGTTTTGGGCTTTATTGGTGTTAAAGTTCACATTTGCTGTGTACTTTGTGAAGTGTTAATTTCCCACTGTCTAGCACAGTTATTTATTTTTGGTATATTATCACAGTAGCAGATATAAATTGTAGTGAATGCTATCTCCTTCACCATCATACCTGTCCATAATGACACCAATTAGCATAATGAAACTTGTGTACTGTATTTGTCACAGTAGCAGATATAAATTGCAGTGAATGCTATCTCCTTCACCATCATACCTGTCCATAATGACACCAATTAGCATAATGAAACTTTTGTACTGTATTTGCCACAGTAGCAGATATAAACTGCAGTGAATGCTATCTCCTTCACCACATACCAGTCCATAAAAACATCAATTAGCATAATGAAACTTTTGTACTGTATTTGTCATAGTAGCAGATATAAACTGCAGTGAATGCTATCTCCTTCACCATCATACCCGTTCCTACTGACACAACTTGGTAAAACGAAACTCCTGTACTGTATTTGTCACAGTAGCAGATATAAATTGCAGTGAATGCTATCTCCATCACCATCATACCTGTCCCTACTGACACCAATTAATACAATGAAACTCCTGTACAGTAATGGTGAAAGTATTATGTCTACACAGTATGGAGAATGGTATCCCATTTACCACCATACCTACAAAGTCATCTAGCTCAGTGGTGTAATACACAACAGAGTAGTTTTTGTCCAGATTTATTTATTTATTTAAGAAGAGATAGCTAAAAACTGTATTAAACAAATCAATAACAATTAAGTCTCCATTATTGCCATTTCTAAAAATGATAGCTGAAGCAAGCTTAAACTTTCACCTCCAAAAACACAGATAAAACTTGTAAATAATACACACTAAACAGACAACTGCCTCAAAAACGTATCTAAAAACACAGATAAAACTTGTAAATAATACACACTAAACAGACCACTGCCTCAAAAACGTATCTAAAAACACAGATAAAACTTGTAAATAATACACACTAAACAGACAACTGCCTCAAAAACATATCTAAAAACACAGATAAAACATAAATAATACACACTAAACAGACAACTGCCTCAAAAATTTCACACTAAGCAACATAAATGATGTGTACTATATGATATTTTGTAGTGATCAAAGCTACATTTACAAGTTTCAACTCTTCCCTAATGACTTTCACACTAAGCAACATAAATGATGTGTACTATATGATATTTTGTAGTGATCAAAGCTACATTTACAAGTTTCAACTCTTCCCTAATGACTTTCTTTAGGTCACTTGGTGACATATAACATCATGGTGCATTTAATTATGTTGATAGCTGGCTACGTTTTTGAGGCAGTGGTCTGTTTTGTGTGTATTATTTACTAGTTTTATCTGAGTTTTTAGAGGTAAGTTTAATTTAATTATGTTGATAGCTGACTACGTTTTTGAGGCAGTGGTCTGTTTAGTGTGTATTATTTATGTTTTATCTGTGTTTTTAGATACGGGTCATTAGGGAAGAGTTGAAACTTGTAAATGTAGCTTTGATCACTACAAAATATCATATAGTACACATCATTTATGTTGCTTAGTGTGAAAGTCATTAGGGAAGAGTTGAAACTTGTAAATGTAGCTTTGATCACTACAAAATATCATATAGTACACATCATTTATGTTGCTTAGTGTGAAAGTCAGTTAGGGAAGAGTTAGAAACTTGTAAATGTAGCTTTGATCACTACGAAATATCATATAGTACACACCTATTTATGTTGCTTAGTGTGAAAGTCAGTTAGGGAAGAGTTGAAACTTGTAAATGTAGCTTTGATCACTACAAAATATCATATAGTACACACCATTTATGTTGCTTAGTGTGAAAGTCAGTTAGGGAAGAGTTGAAACTTGTAAATGTAGCTTTGATCACTACAAAATATCATATAGTACACACCATTTATGTTGCTTAGTGTGAAAGTCATTAGGGAAGAGTTGAAACTTGTAAATGTAGCTTTGATCACTACAAAATATCATATAGTAC